CCCCGACCCCAACCGCAAACGAGCCGAGCGTCGAGCCCGGGAAGCGGACTGACGCTGCGGCTCTACTTGTGCGGTCGGGTAAACTGGAGGGGCGGCGGCTGGAGCTGTGTACGCAGGCGTATATGGTGGATATCCAACCGGGGGAGTGTAGTACATCGATTGGCCAGACCAGTACCCATACGGCGGAGGTGGGACCGGGTACGGATACTGACCGGGATACATCACCGGCTGTTGTTGATGCGGCTGACCGGGTGTTGGGTATCCCGGTTGAATGTAGTTCACCGGCTGTTGGGCAGCGGGTATGTGTTGGATGGATGTGGTGGTGACAGATTAAGGTTTAAGTCCACCGTCTGACCTTGCTGTTGGGTAGCGTGGTGATCGGATGAAATCGCTGCATCCACCTGATCGTCGGCGAAATTGTTGTATGCCCATGGATACATCGTTGCAAAGGAACCGAGTGTTCGTCAAGACGTTGCTTTCTTGCACGGGTCCCCACGGACGGCGCCAAAATGATACTGCTAATTCTACGTAAGCAATATTTAAATAATACCCGAGACCAACTAAAGCAAGTAAATATCTTTATTGATCACGGTAGAGGCCCTAAGTACAATCTACTTGGTTGCTCTGAGTGCCAACTGACTGCGGTCGGGGATTCTCTAATAACAACCTATCGATCGTCCAAAAGTCCTCTACATTGTAGCTACTGTGGGTATTTATAGCCGCTGCGCCGGAGACACAAATTCGGTCGTTCGGCATGCTCTCCACGTAGCCATCACGTGTCATCCTCCCGGGTGCCCTATCTGTCGCCACAGAGAGCCGCCACGTGTCCTTTATCAGCTCCCTCACCAAAGGGCTACCGCTCGGTGGTCGACACTACCGCTCGGGCAATTCCCGGCCGCTTCCCTACCGGGTTCTTCATAAAAAGCCCGACCTGCTACCTGCAAAGACAAAAAGACAAAGACAAAGGCACCTCGGTCGTGGTAGAGCTATGGCGGTCGGGATATTCCCTACCAATTAGGTTGCAAGCATATAGAAACCCTGTTGAGCATGTTAAAGTGTTGCCTAAGTGATTGAGAATCGTCGATCTAAGTATGTGAAACAAATGTTTTCCAAAAGTATATACTGTAGTACTTTACAGGGTTGAGTGGCGTTATACTTAGCTTCGTGCTAACAGGTTTGTTTTCTACTTGTTGTTTGTTAACCCCTTTTAGGTGGGCCCAGTTCATGAGAGAGTACGAGTTAGACTAGACTAGCATAGTTAGCTTTTGTAGTCTAAACTTTTGATGTTTGTTTTGAGATTTGTAGTTGACTACCCTTGTTTTGATGGTGTAACACCCCTAATTTTCAAAACATTTAAAATTTATATAATAAAGGCAATCTAACAATGATCATCCAAACAGAGCATAAACTATCCATAAGAGTCGATGTGCTATGTCACACCTAGGTTTGAGAACCTAGATGCACAGGCTGAAACTATCCAAACATGTGTAATCCATAAGTCAATATCCAAATACAATCCACGAAACGCAGGCCATCTACTAATGCTAGGACTAACTAAGCTAAGCCCACGAGTCCGACTAGCGCGCTCCGTAGCTAATGATCAGCACCTGTAAAACATATGGTATAGCAACCGTCAGCGAATAATGCTGAGTAACCCACTCCCACACGTTAAGTACAATAAATATAAATATAGGAAATCATTTTGAAACTAGAATACATATATAATCCTGAGCAACTCTAGTTTTAAAACCAGGATCAAGACTCGAGACACAACAACAGGTTTAACATCACGAATCATCATAAAGATACTAGCATGCATCCTACGTTTGCAAGGCATAATAGGCAAGTAAGCTCGTAAATAGCAATTAAAGGCAACAATGAGATCCAATGACAATCAATTAGCAAGTAATCATCAAAGCATACAATCCATCTTCCAACCTTATACCAACTTCCAACCTTTACTCCTCTCTATCCTTATATCAGTTCCAACCTGTGCCTCTAGGGCACCCTTATATCGCCTCTCTTATTCCTCCGGGCAACTACATGCCCCACACCGAAACCACCAACATGGTAACACCGAAGTGCCATTCGCATGATCCGTGCTTATAGCACTATAATCAAGGGGTCAACGCATATAGCTATGACATGGCACCACGGCGCTTATACCTTGACCCAAACCTTTAGCCAGCAAGTCTAAAGGGTGGTCCGTGCCTTTAGCACGATAACTGAGCACTCGTTGTGCTATCCGCCAAAAATTCGTTTCCACCGATCACAATCTCATTACCATCGATCTCAACCATCATTGCGCAATGATCACAATACCCATCATCATTCAATCAATCAATTATACAATCAACAATAACAATCAAGGTATAATAACAAACATACGCACTACACATAAATTCCTAGAACGGTACTCAAAACATCATACGAGACTCATAAACATCAAACGGGGCACAACGGGGCACGGGGAAACAACAAACAGGGGAAAACGACCCGCCGCGCCACCCCGTTCCAACAATGTGACCGGAATCTTTTAATTCATTTTAATTGTTTTAGTTCAGGGGTAAATTAGTCATTTCCTTCTTCTTCCTTCTTCTACATCCTTCTTCTTGGTTCTTCTTCTCCATTCTTGGTTCTTCTCCTCCTGATAAAAATGTCACTGGCCAAAATTTCTCACTTCCTTCTTTAAATCCCACTTTCTCACTCTACGTTCATATGTATAGACGGAAGATTTCTGCTTTGGAGATCAGAGTTTGGTCAAGCATTCCACTTCTCCTCCAACTTCCACCTACGAGAATCAGCCGACTACTTTCAGGCCGACTAATTTGTTGTCTCACCGCGAATTTCCGACTGTTACTTGTTGATGCTCAGCCGACTAAGGGGCATGTAGTCAACAAGGAGACTATCGGCGCATAGGGGACGTGTCGGACTGGTCTGGGCAGTTTCCTCTGTTCACCGAAGTTGCTTCACTCGGCAGTCGAGAGAGATGGACTGTGGCGGAGAATAGTGCGATCATGGCTGAGGCCCATTTTATGGAGAAGAAGCAAATAAATTTTCATTTTTTAAAAACGTAAAATGACCGTGTCAGACTGGTCTGGGCAGTTTCCTCTGTTCACCGGAATTGATTCACTCGGCGGTCGAGAGCGACAGACTGTGGCGGAGAATAGTGCAATCATGGCTAAGGCCCATTTTCTGGAGAAGAAGCAAATAATTTTTCATTTTTTTTAAAACGTAAAATGACCGTTTTACCCCCCATAAATAAAAATTTTAAAAAGTTTAAGTTTTTCCGGTCACATTTGGCCTATAATTTGACCGGCGTGACCAAAATTGATAAGAATTGCATAGTCAAGGTACTAAATTAACATTTTTGAAAGTCAAGTGTTGCAATTAACACAAATGCAATAGTCATGGACCAAAATTGAAATTTTCTCTTATGATTTCATAATAATATATTCAAGGTTAAATGACATAATAATTCTGATTTAAAAAAACAAATATTTAAAAATTTGTTTCTTGATTAATTAGTTGTTAATGGAGTTTCTAAATAAATTCTTATTTTTTCTTTAGGGTTTTACAGTTATGTCTTTTAGAAAATATTCAGCTGGGTAAAGAAGAATTGAGCAACTAACTCAATCTCAAAAGAAAGCTTTTGAAAAATTCATTACAAAAGAAACTCAAATTTTTGAATATTAGATGTCAAATTTTTAAATGTGCAAAAAGATGATGCCAATGAAAGAAATGTTAGATGTTAATCTTCATATAGAACTATAGAAAATCAAGATGATTGCAAGATTGGAAAAAATTTAAATGATAGTGTGCACAATGATGATAAGTATTAATGTGACAATGAAAATAATAAGAATGTTGATAGCTGTTTAGCTGATGTTCGTCACACTGATAAATCAAATATTACTTACGATCAAGTATGTTGCTAGAGATATACTCAATGGATTAGCTTTAATCTATATTGAAAATGAGATTTTGGAAGAAGTTGATATCAAAAGTTTGATGGATGATTTTGCGTCTAAATGTGCACGACGCATGTCACTTTTTAAATAAAATTTTTGATATATTTTTTATACAATATTTATATTTTGAATTTTTGACACAACATTTTGAACAACTATTATTTATATATACAAATTATTTTTTTTTAAAAAAGGGCTCAATATAAGATATTGCTCATGACCCCATTTTTCATTAGAACGGCTCTGTATTACATTAATATACTTTGAAATAGTTCTTTAAAAATAATCATTGGTAATTATCTCATTCGTGCAAAACGCGTAAAAAAATTGGTTTTCAATATAAGTATTATATATTTTTTTCATCTTAACCTGATACGCTTCACTAACAATAATTGGTGAGATGGTCTCACATAAATTTTTGCTCAAATTATAATTATAGCAGACAACGACTAATAACAAAGATCTTCCAATATTTATTGCTCTTATGCCAAAACTTGGTTTAGATTGTTTTACTGGAATTATAGAATATTAGCACAGTCACATGGTCACATAAATTTTTGCCCAAATTATAATTATAGCAGACAACGACTAATAACAAAGATCTTCCAATATTTATTGCTCTTATGCCAAAACTTGGTTTAGATTGTTTTATTACTGGAATTATAGAATATTAGCACAGTCACTTCTCCGTGACTTTTAATATATCAAATATTTAATGCTCCCTCCGTTCCATTTTATGTGTCTGATTCGGTTAATGAGACTTGATTGAAGTTATTTTTAATTCAATTTTTCATAATATTATGTTTAATATTAGTATACAAAATTTATATACTTTAAAACTACACTAAAATTACTATTAAACACACAAAAAAATCAAATTTAAAAATGAGTAAAAAATACTAAAAAAATAAAAAAATGAAAAATTAATTTGATTAATGAATAATAGGTAAGACATATAAAATGAAACATACTGTGCATTCGGTACTAAAAAATAAAAAATAAATAAAAAGAAGAGAAAGATGTAAAAAGGGGAAAAAGACAAAAGGGAATCCCACCAAAAATCCAGCTCAGTAAGCAGTAGCAAACTGGAAACTGTGCTTTGCCGATACTCTAATGGGAATCTCATTCTTCCTCATATATGTTTCTTCAACGTTGTTGTTGTTCCGCAAAGGAAGGTAGCAGTTTCCAAGAAAACACTTTTGTTTTTCCAGAAAAAAATGCCAAATATCATATGGAATTTACAGCGTTTGTTATCTGATTGATCTCACCTGAATCCTTGTTCCTGCTCAAAAATGTCTCGCCACCAGCGCCGCTCCGAGCATCCGCCGCATCGCCGCCGTTCGTGGTGTTGCTCTTTTGCCGTCCCGCCCCACAGCCCCGACAACCCCACTTCAGTTAAGAAGAACGAGCTACCTTTCATCGCCAAATCCTCCACCCTTAGCTCCATTTCCCAGTCTCAGGGCAGCCTCGTCACCCGGATCGGACCCCGCAGGATCCTGTCTCCGGGTCGGGTCTCTCCCATAGATTCTCTGGACGAGACACTAGCTCCAAATCCAACACTCCCCGCCTGCTCCATTGAGATTACTAAACCCCCGGTGCCTCGCGAGTCCGATGATAATTTGGGAATCTTTGACGTGAGGCTGAATCTGAAGGGCAAGAATGGTGGTGGTAGCTTGGTGTTGGAGCTCAGCTCCCAGGTTCTTACTGCAAACGCCTTGGTTTTCGCAGATTTGATCGCGGATTATAGGAAAAAATCCAAGGGTTTGTGTAGGATTGAGGTCCCCGATGTGGATAATCTGGGCATCTTCCGTCACACAATTGAGCTTATGTTTGAGGAAGATATTCCCAAAAGCCTCCTAAACATCGGGGTATATCGCACCATTGATGTGCTGGAGGTAATCACTTAACATCTTAACTCTAAACAGGAAAAAGGAAAACCATATTATATTCCTGCTGTAATCAAACCACCTGCGTCAATGTTACTCAAACACTTTTGTGCTCCATACTGCATTTTGTGAAGTTTTCTTCTAAACAACTCAACCAATTAGATTATCAAACTCTGGAACTAAAGAATTTCATTTAGGAAGAAAGACAAGAGCTATGAATCTGTTGCTTTATTTATAATTTAGGGTGTGTTTGGTTTCCACTACGGAATCGGAATCAGAATGGGACTCAAATACTTGGGTTGGTGAAAGTATTTTGCATGTTTGGTAATAGGGTGGAATTTGAATGGTTACCAACATTGATGTGATATTTGGTTATGTATGAACCGATAATGGGAATAAATGTTTTAAAAATAAAAAATTAAGGCAATTGATTCTAGTATAATGACATCCAAAGCACCCATATGAACAAAATAAAAAATCAAAACAAAAATCTAAAAGCACTAATCCAAACTTTAAAATCAGATTACTAATAAGATGGAAAATATGTGTTTTTAATTAGTGAATGATGTTTTAATTGAAGGGGTAATCAAATTCCATAGTTGTGTTCAACCAAACACTAACTATGAATTTGATTTTCATTCCTAGTGTGTAAACCCGTGAACCAAACACACCCTTAGATTTACTCATATTCCTTATCCCAAAAAAAATATTTATAGTTGAAGAGTCAATATTTAGAGAATTTGATAGCTAGGCTCTGTTTGCAAGATGTTATAGAAGGCTATGTTGTAAAGCTCTAAGCTTGCTTTGTAAAATCTGGAGGGTGTACAAGATAAGAGTATTTATTCAAATCTCGGATTTTAAGAAGTGGAGAAATAGTAGCCTTTTTATTTTTTACTCAAATATAATTTTTGTTTATCTTTTAAAGAAACGCTATTTAAACTTACTACAAATTTATGTGTTTATATGAAATGTACTTTGTTAGTCCGTCCTATTTTCTTCTTTGGTTCTCTTGAACTTGACATTGACTTGAAGCTTGCAATAAAGTGTCTGCATGTTCAAGTTCTATGGTTGGTTTTCTTGCAACCCTTCTGTTATGAGACCACGTTGATAAAGTAAGAGAGAACATATGGGTTTATAAGGCCATAGGTTAGACTAGCTAATTGATTGAATTCAGTCGTTTAGTGTGGTTTGGCTCATGTGCATTATAGCCCAATTGAGTGATCTTGGTCCAATCTTAGGTTATAACACCTTCACCCATTCTGACTTCCCAAGTTGTGATTTCTAGCATTATCCAAGAAATAGCAACACTAAATTTGGGTGTTGTTTTTATTAATTTAGGTATCAGCAAGCATTAAGTTCACGAGGGCCATTTTGTCATGCCTAGAATACATTGAGGCCATGCCTTGGACTGAAGAGGAAGAGGAAAAACTCAGGAACTTATTTACCAAAGTTAAGTTTGATGATGAAACAATATGTAGAGATATTGTGGCCAGACTCTATACCCAAGACTCACTGGATTCTCAACAAAAATTGGCTAGGAATCTTGTTTTGTCAGTAACCACCTGTAATGATGCGAATGCGAGAAATGAGCTAAAACCTCTAGTCAAAGGTCTCCTGTGCAAAAATTCCTTGTATGAAAAGGAGTGTCCCGATCTGAACACAGAGGATATCTTTGCTATTTGTAGGTCTTGCCTGGGTTCACTGGTCACTCTACTCGAGGAGGCCACTAGCACCAATCCATCTAGGAAATTGGGGAAGGAGAAAGATAAGCCATTGATTGAGCGAATATCAAATCAGGTGGACAACATGAATTGGCTACTCGAAATTTTGCTCGATCACCAGATGGCGGAGGGGTTGGTTGACATGTGGACGCATCAAGTGAAGTTGCTTCACCTGCACAAGTGTGCATCTCCAATGCTTAGGTATGAGCTGAGCCGGGTTTCTGCAAAGTTGTTCGTTGCAATGGGCACTAGAAAAATGCATTGCCGGTCAGAAGCAAGGTTAGGGTTAATGCAGGCATGGTTCAAACCGATGCTACTGGACTTTGGTTGGCTACAGAGGTGTAAGAAAGGCCTAGACATAAAGGCATTGGAGGAAGCGATGGGGCAAGCGCTCCTAACTCTTCCTTTGAAAGAGCAATACATGCTGTTTATGGATTGGTTCAGGTGTTTCTCCAAGAACGGCACTGAATGCCCTAATCTTAGCAAGGCATTCCAGATTTGGTGGCGGAGATCATTCCTCAGAGGCTCTGACCCCTACGCTTTTGAATCTAGGTAATCACGGGTGGTGTTAAGTCTATTAGTTTTGGTATAGTGTTGTTCTAATCAGGGCAGTGTGGATCATATGATGGTGAATAATGTGAAAGAAGAAGAAGAAGCGCCTTTTTAATGCTGTTTCAGTCCTACCAAATGAAACAAGTTTCCATGAGCCATAAATTCATTCATCCCAAGTGCAAAGTGAGTGTTGACTTCACATTTTGATTGTTGAGCAGGGACCCTGAACTAGAAGAATCCAATCCCAATAGTCAATATGAAGAAGAAGCAAAGCTGTCAATCTGATTTTGTGAACATCATCCTACTTATGTTGCTTGCTTGCACAAGTTAATTAGTTTAAAGTGTATGTATGTATGTATGTACTTCCTGAATTAGCTACTTGACTATTGCTTTCTCGTTTAATTTGGCTGGCAGGCAGGCAGGCAGTTGGAATTCAGACTATTCACCCCTAAAAAAAATTCCCTTATAATTTACCTCATGACATGGTACTGTTTGGTGGGGTCAATCAATTCATAACACTCAATGATTATAAGGCATAACATGGAGGGAATTTAGGAGTGGTAAGAAGTATTTTTTGTTGGAATATTATTTGTTGTCAACATTTATTACTGCCACGGTGCCACCTCATGGTTTTAGCGCTTATGTCTACATACACTCTGCTGGCATCTACATAATTATTATACGCTAAAAATACCCATATGAAAATGCAGTTAGTTTAAAATTCTTTCTTTTTAAGTTGATATAGGAAGAAATTCATTAACCATCCTATGCAATCTGTCAAGGGAACAAACTTCCTAACCAAGAAATAGGTTGTCTTGTTCTCAAATTGCTTTCCAAAAGAAAATTTTAAATGAAAAAAAAAAAAAAGCAAAAAAAAAAAAAAAAAAAACAAACAAAAACAACTCATCCATTGTTTTACATCATTAAGAATGAAATCAAAAGAAGACAACCTCAGCCATGAATAATTTGGAGAGCATCATATTCCACTTAAAGCAATTTCTTTTATGGTGTATTTAGAAATAAGGAAAATAACCTCTAGAAAATGTTTTCTGAAAAATGAGTCATTATCCATAAAATATTTTTCTTTTCAATGTTTGGTTGCATTCTAGAAAACTATTTTGGTATGTTTGGTTTATTTTTCATAAAATGGGCATAATTTTATAATTAAACATTTTAATGATTTTATTTAGAATATAAAAACATTTATAATAATAATAATAATAATAATAATAATAATAATAATAATAATAATAATCATAATAATAATAATAATGGTGGTAGTGTGGAGGTGGTGGTGGTGGTGTGGTGGTGATGGCGGTTGGTGGTGGTGGTGTGGTGGTGTGGAGGCGGTGGTGGTGGTGTGGTGGTGGCAGTGGTAGTGGCAGTGGTGGTGATAGCGGTTGGTGGTGGTGGTGGTGGTGTGGTGGTGTGGAGGCGGTGGTGGTGGTGTGGTGGTGTGGTGGTGTGGTGGTGTGGTGGTGGTAGTGGTGGTGATGGCGGTTGGTAGTGGTAGTGGTGGTAGTGTGGTAGTAGTGGTGGAGGCGGCGGCGGCGGCGGCGGTGGTGGTGGTGGAGGAGGCGGTGGAGGCGGCGGCAGTGGTGGTGGTGGTGGCGGTGGTTGTAGTGGTGGTGGCGGTGGTAGTGTGGTAGTAGTGGTGGAGGTGGTGGCGGCGGCGGTGGGGTGGTGGTGGCGGTGGTTGTGGTGGTGGTGGTGGTGGTGGTGGTGGTGGTGGTAGTGTTGTAGTGGTGGTGGTAGTGGTAGTGGTGTAGTGGTGGTGGTGGTGGTGTGGTGGCGGTGGTTACTGTGGTGGTGGTGGTGGTGGCGGCGATGGTTGCTGTGGTGGTAGTGTGGTAGTGGTGGTGGTCATGTGGTAGTAGTGGTGGTGATGGTGATGATGGTGGTGGTGGTGGTGTTGATGGCGATAGTGGTGTAGTGTTGGTGTAGAAATTGGAAACTGACTTCCCAAAAAAGAGGAGAATCATTTTACAAGAAAATGAGAGTATTTTCCTTTAACCAAACACTCATTTTCCTTTGATTCACATTTTTCACTCTTTAGCAAACACTGGAAACCCAACAATCCTATGCAGGGATCGATCGTTGAATACAGTTGTTTCCGATTTTAAAAATACCCCGAAAATCAATTTTCATTCATGTGGAGGATTGTTGACAAAAATAGCATAAAATGGCATTTGAAGTAGCTATCTTGTGGTACAATTATTAGTAGGGTCCACTTCCGATTTGGGTCGGGTCAAAATGGATTTGGGTTCTTCGTAGTGAGACGAAGAGATTGATATATTATACGCTCAAAACGGATAATGGGTGAATGAGAAATTGATTCTCTAAGTAGACCCATTTGAGTTGGAAAATGAAGGGAAAAGGCTTTAAAGTAGCCTTTGTCCCGCATTGGTTTGGGAAGTGGGTTTGCACCACTATTTATACAAGAGCATTTCTAAGGCATATTGACTTGTATAGCATAGAGGTTCTTTCTTGCGCGAAGGGGGGTGTAAAGTGAGCTTGAAAAAGCTTGACTTGTGTGTACGCCGGCACCGGAATGGACCTTTGGAAGATTACAAAATACCAACCATTTTAAATCAGAGTTGAATGTCATGGTTAACTCCTATATATTCTTTTTCCATCTCGAAACCCTGCTCTTCTTCTTTCCTGTCATCTGTGTTCGTCCCGTTTGCTCTAGTTCACCGGATTCCTTTGTTTTGAGTGCTCAAACTTGGAATCATAGTGCGTTTTATACTGGGAAGCCTAGGCCGCAACGCTCATAGCACCTTTGGGAAGCGGCAAATAAGGTTTTAAGGAAAGAGTGTTTCGCTCGACTCGTACTAACCACCTACCCTCAACACCTTTTGTCCCTGTGCTTGGAGGCTCGTCTTCGATTCTTCTCGTCTTATCGGTTCAAGTAAGTGGGATTATGTTTCAAACAATTAAATCCCTTACATTGTATATATGCTGGTTGGAATTATAATTTTCAGGATTATATATATATATATATATATATATATATATATATATATATATATATATATATATATATATATATATATATGAAAAAGTTCAAATGCGGCGAGGTCCTCCCGTGCAGTCGTGCGGCAGTTTCTAGAATACACCAATAGTGTTAACAATATGCATCAAAGGTCCAATAGTGTAAGAGAAACACACAACAATGAAATGTAAAAATACACCAAAAAGTACACAATACACCACAAAAAATACACCATATACCTCCCTACCACTAATGGTTTATTTCCGAACACTGTGTGGTGCTTTAGTCATACCTAATGGTGAGTTGTTGGTGATGTGTACCTAATTTGTGTGTGTTTTTGTGGTGCATTTCCTGACGTTGATGGTGTATATCTTGCTTAATATACGTATGTGTGTGTGTGTGTGTGTGTGTGTGTGTATATATATATATGTATATATATATATATATATATATATATATATATATATATATATATATATATATATATATAATTGCACTCAGGTGCGAATGCTCCGCCCAGGAGCGAAATAGGAATGGATTCTGTCTGTCCACGTGTCCAGATCTAATGGATGAGAAACACTGATTTTTTTAAAAAATCGTGGTGGCATTTTCGTAAATAATTGAACATCGAAGTGCAAGTAAAATGTATTGCAAGTGCATGTAAAATGTATTATAGGTGCAAGTAAAAATTTACACTGAGCATCAATACTAAGTGCACCTATAGTTATAAGTAGTTGCACTCATAGTTCTAAGTAGTTGCACACATAGTTATAAGTAGTTGCACCTAGGTGCATGAATGTTTGCGGGTGGTTTTCAGGGGTATTACTACCCGCTGAACTCAGATCAATGAATGATAACAAGGCAAAATTACATGCACTTATAGGTGAAAGTAGGTGCACTTATAGTTATAAATAGTTGCACATATAGTTATAAGCACACCCAGGTGCATGAATATTTGAGGGAAGTGAATGCTAACAAGGCAAAATTACATGCACTTATAGGTGAAAGTAGGTGCACTTGTAAGTGATTTTACTTGCACTTCGATGTTCAACTATTAAATTTTAACCATCCATGGTCCTTTCATGATGACCACTACTGGTTAAGTTTTGAAACTTGAAGGACCATGGGTGGTTAACTTGGACCACGAATGGTCAAATTTGAAAGTCGAAGGACCACAAATGGTCAATTTGAAAGTTTAAGACTAAACGTGGCAAAACCACTATACTCGGAGGACCTCAGGTGGTATTAACTCATATATATATATATATATATATATATATATATATATATATATATATATATATATATATATATATATATATATATATATATATTTCGTGTGTGTATATATCAAGATTGCAAAATACGTTAGGCGCCCCTAAAGCGTCGAGGGAGCGCCTAGCGCCCTAGCGCGCCCGATTAATTAAATTTTTTAAAAAAAAAATAAACTAAAAATTGTAAAATTCACTAATAAAACATAAAGTTCCCATAGTTATTTCTTACAAACTATTTACGCAAGTGGTTGTAAAATTGTTCAAAATATTGTTTAAATCATCTAAATACATTAAAAAAAATAAACTAAAGTTAAGAGCTAAAGAAGCATTTATTTGAGAATTTGGTGGGGGAAACCGCCTTCGGCTGTTTGCGGTGGATAGATCTCGAAAAAATACGCGATTTGAAAAAAAAAATTGTCCAAAACGGACAACCGAATCAAAAGTTAGGCATCGACGAAGTTTCTAAACCCTAAACCTACAAAAAAAAAAAAAAAAAAAAAAAAAAAAAAAAAAAAATCGGCCGGCCACGGAGGAGGCCGATTCCGGCCTTCCTCGTCGCGGCCGGTCGGCGCCTAGGCACAATTTTTGCAACATTGGTATATATATATATTTGTGAAATCGACTTGTTCATTACCTACAACACATACCTGCAACGCTTTCAAGCATAAAATTAATGGAATGAGTTGCACAATAAGTCCAAAATATCAATGACCTCTTCTCCTTCAACAATTTAGCAGCTCCCATGTTGTTTGAGGCATTATCTGTGACAAATTTGAACAACATTCTCCTCTCCAACTTGTTGAATGACATGTTTCACATACTCAAATATAAACTGACTTGTGTGTGCCTCACTTGAACATTCGTTTAAAAGATCTAAAAAAAAAAAAAAAAAAAAAAAAAAAAAAAAAAAAAAAAACAATGCCCAACCTTGAATTGACACACAAGTTCATGATGCTTATTCTCTTTCTATCTGTCCATGCATTGGTCATAATTGAGCACTCATTTAGTTTTCACTCCGCTTCATGTACCTTCAAACTGTCTCGATCTCGATCAACCTCTTTTTTAAAAAATATGTTTCACTCATTTCATATCTATTTGGTCTGTGAGCTCCCATGCCATATTTAACAATAACTTCAATCATCAACTTGAAGCTATTGCTCTCAAAAGCAAGAAATGGAATAGCTGCTTC